TTAAATTAGAACCAAATAGACGCAGTTAACTTTTCAGAAAAGTGTACAAATAAGTGACACTGTAAAAATGACGAATTATTCAGAAAAAATTCTTCTATAGAATTTTTATAATCTTCTAAATCTGGTTACCTTTGTGATAGGACTTAAACGACCTAAAAAAATCTTATTTCAGAAAATTTGTATCTCGTTGAAAGTAGCATTAATCAAGGGAAGAAAAGATGAATTTTTCGTTCATAATCGGACCTAAGGACAGAACTTATTTTCAAAATCCATATTACTCTACAAAAATTTATGATTACACCATATTAAACATTATTTCAGTTTCCTGTTGGGAAAAGAAGTCTACGTATATTTAAATAAAAAGAAAAAATATAAGCCCCGCCCACCCACCCTTACCTCAATTCTGATGAATTTTTCATTCGTTGTCAGACCGAGGGGCGGAGCATAATTGCAAAATCCATATTTGCCTACAAAAATTTACCAGTTTGAACAAGTTTTAAGTTTTTTATTGTAACAAAAAAGAATTCAACATGTATTAAGAAAAACAAAGCAAAATGCAAGAAAATTTCATTTTTGAAAAAGTCGTCTAGAAATTCTCAAAATTCAAGGTTATAGGGTTACAGAGCACTATTTTCGAAAAATTAGGTGTGAAATCCGGATTTTTTGAAATTTAAAAAAAAATCGATATTTCAATGGGCGATCTTGAAAAAATGGTTAGAGTTATCGAAGAAAGAGGCCGGAAGTGACTTCTGCAACCCGAAATCTACAAGAAAATGTATTTAGTTAAATTTAGAAAATCATCCAAAATGGGTCGAAATTTGCATAAAATTTCATTTTTGAAAAAGTCGTTTAAAAATTCTCAAAAAAATTGAGTGTTATAGATCTTGACGTGTTGATTCCAAATATGTAGCGTGTTTAGGGTTGCGGAGCAATATTTTCGAAAAATTAAGTGTGAAATTCGATGTTTTTTGAAATTTTTAAAAATTTTGATATCTGAATGTGCGATTCTAAAAAAAGGTTGGAGTTATCGAAGAAATGAGGCCGGAAGTGACTTCTGCGACCCAAAATCCACAAGAGAATATGTTTAGTTAAATTTAGAAAATCGTCTAAAATAGGTCGAAATTTGCATAAATTTATGAGATGAGAGGTGAAAAGAAGACCAAGGTATGAAGATATCAGTAGTGATAAATAGTGTAATGGGTTGTGGTTTAAAGTAGAACCAAAAGGATACACCTAGCGTTTCACAAAAGTTTTAGTGCGCTAATAAGGTCAGCAATAACACTGTAAAATTGAAAAATTTTTTCAAAAAAATTCTGTCTTCTATAGAATTTTTATAATCTTCTAAATCTAGTTACTTTTGTGATAGGACTTAAACGACCTCAAAAAATGTTATTTCAGAAAATTTGTATCTCATTGAAAGTAGCATTAATCAAGCGAAAAAATATTAATTTTTCGTTCGTAATCGGACCTAAGGACAGAGCTTATTTTCAAAATCCACGAAAATTTATGATTACACCATTTTAAACATGATTTCAGTTTCCTGCTGGAAAAAGAAGTCTACGTATATTTAAATAAAAAGACAAAATATAAGCCCCGCCCACCCACCCTCATCTCAATTCTGATCAATTTTTCATTCGTTGTCAGACCGAGGGGCGAAGCATAATTGCAAAATCCATATTTGCCTACAAAAATTTACCAGTTTGAACAAGTTTTAAGTTTTTTATTGTAAAAAAAAGAATTCAACATGTATTAAGAAAAACGAAGCAAAATGCAAGAAAATTTCATTTTTGAAAAAATCGTCTAGAAATTCTCAAAAAATTCAAGGTTATAGGGTTACAGAGGAATATTTTCGAAAAATTTGGTGTGAAATCCGAATTTTTTGAAATTAAAAAAAACTCGATATTTCAATGGGCGATCTTGAAAAAACGGTTGGAGTTATCGAAGAAATGAGGCCGGAAGTGACTTCTGCAGCCCGAAATCTAAAAAAAATGTATTTACTTAAATTTCGAAAATCGTCCAAAATGGGTCGAAATTTGCATAAAATTTCATTTTTGAAAAAGTCGTTTAAAAATTCTCAAAAAAATTCAGTGTTATAGATCTTGACGTGTTGAATATGGAGAGCATCTAGGGTTCGGAGCAATATTTTCGAAAAGTTAAATCTGAAATTCTATATTTTTTGAAATTTTTAAAATTTCGATATCTGAATGTGCGATTCTGAAAAAAGGTTGGATTTATCGAAGAAATGAGGCCGGAAGTGACTTCTGTGACCCAAAGTCTACAAGAGAATATATTTGGTTAAATTTAAAAAATCGTCTAAAATGGGTCGAAATTTGCATAAATTTATGAGATGAGAGGTGAAAAGAAGACCAAGGTATGAAGATATCAGTAGTGGTAAATAGTGTACTGGATTGTCGTTTAAAGTAGAACCAAAAGGATACAGCTAGCGTTTCAAGAAAGTTTTAGTGCGCTAATAAGACATTGTAAAATTGAAGATTTTTTTCAAAATAATTCTGTCTTCTATAGAATTTTTATAATCTTCTAAATATAGTTACTTTTGTGATAGGACTTAAACGACCTAGAAAAATATTATTTCACAAAATTTGTATCTCGTTGAAAGTAGCATTAATCAAGCGAAAAAAAGATTAATTTTTCATTCGTAATCGGACCTAAAGAGCTTATTTTCAAAATCCACATTTCTCTACAAAAATTTATGATTACACCATTTTAAACATGATTTTAGTTTCCTGCTGGAAAAAGAAGTCTACGTATATTTAAATAAAAAGACAAAATGTAAGCCCCGCCCACCCACCCTCATCTCAATTCTGATCAATTTTTCATTCGTTATCAGACCGAGGAGCGGAACATAATTGCAAAATCCATATTTGCCTACAAAAATTTACCATTTTGAACAAGTTTGAAGTTTTTTGTTGTGAAAAGAATACTACATATATTAAGAAAAACAAGGCAAAATGCAAGAAAGTCTCATTTTTGAAAAAGTCGTCTAAAGATTCTCAAAAACTTCTAGGTTATAGACCCTGACGTGCTGATTCCAAAAATATAGCGTATTTAGGGTTACAGAACAATATTTTCGAACAATATAAAATTCGGATTTTTTGAAATTTTTAAAAATCATTTCGTTCCAAATTTTGATCATTTTTTGTAAAAAATTATCATCAATACTTGCTAAGATAAAACTGATTTCGGCATTGACACACCCTCAGAAAAGAGAGGGTAGGTGGGCGGTTCTAGTAGCTGTTAAGATAAAACTGATTTTGGCAAATGGCATACTTTCCAAGAATAGAGAGGGTGGGTGGGCGGGGCTAGTACCCGCTAAGATAAAGCTGATTTTGGCAAATGAGTTACCCTCTAAGATAAAACTGATTTTGGCAAATGACATACCTTCTAAGAATAGAAAGGGTGGGTGGGCGGGGCTAGTACCTGCCAAGATAAGGCTGATTTTGGCAAATGACTTATCCTTTAAGAAAAGAGAGGGTGGGTGGGTGTCGAAAATGTTTCGAAATTTGCATAATACATAGAAGAATATTTCATTTTTGAAAGTCGTCTGAAAATTTTCAAAAATTTCAGGGATCGGTGTGAAATTCACATTGTTTGAAATTTTTAAAAATTGCGATATTTCAATGGGCGATTCTAGAAAAACGGTTGCAGTTATCGAACAAATCTACAATAAAATTTATTTAGCTAAATTTCGAAAATCTTTGAAAATGGGTGGAAATTTTCATACATAGTGAAGAGTTTCATTTGTGAAAAAGTTGTCTTAAAATTCTCAAAAAAATCATGGTTATAAATGTCGACGTGCTAAATACAAAAACATAAGTTGAAACCGTCTTTTTGTTCTTACACTATGACTTTCCATATTATGGAGTAAAGACTCCATAAAGATTATCACAAAAAAGTAAAATTTCGCAAAATCAAATTTCATGATTTTTCAAAGGACGAGGGAAGTAACCTAACACCAACTTTTTAATCAATATTTTGTTTTAATCGATATTTTATTTTTGTAAATGGACGTGAAATTGACGTAAAGAATTTTTTAATGATTTTGCTGGAACTTCTGAACTTAATATACCGCTGAGTTAGTGCGCTATTTTTGAATCACCCTGTATACACATGCGCATTATAATCGAATTTTCTAACAAAATAAATGCTCCTCCTTTTGTGTTACGTAAATTCGTCAATTATTTTTCCATTAAGTCGGAAATCGACCGAATAAGCTTATGTTCACGGACTGACACGCTAATACATTTAACTTATCTTGGCGATCGCTTGGAAAAGTTTTTAAAATTAATTACATCCATTATTAACTTAAACAGGACAATTTTATGAGCATAAAACAATCAAATTGAACGACATTATCTCAAAAACGGAAGTCAACGACATCTAAGATTTGTAGGAAACTCGGCTCTGATTGGTCAAGTGACGTTAGCGATGCGATGATTACAGCCTATTTCTTTCTGCAAATAAGAAACAGTTCTGAAGATATTGTTAATAAATTTCTTGGTTTTGATTAAACGTTTTTAAAATATATAAACAGATTTTGTTTGTCTTTTTAACAAAGATCTTACCTTATCTCACTCTGCATAAACGAATTTTTTTAGGGAAATATTGTAACACTTTGTTAGTTCCGTCAAATTACAAGTACAGTCAGAATAATAAAGATAATAAAAAGAACCTCGACTTTTTTATTTCATTTCCGTGTGAAAATTTTAATAAACGCAATTTACGTGCGTTTATCAAAAATCTAGAGTGCAAACCTGCTCGTGAAGACAGGCCGTAAATTGTCGCACCATCATCAAGATCCAAAAATTACATTAACTCATGTCTCCTCGTTAGAAACCTGATTATGCCCCAGCCTACACACCTCCTACAATCGTCCCAAGACACCCCTAATTACCTTAAAAGTTTAAAACCCATCCAGCCCACGTCCCACCCATTACCGCCACCCACGTGACTCAATTCCATCAAGTTCTTTTTCGTTGCAGTGGTGTGCGCCGTGCAGTCCGGGGCCGGCACGTCAGGCAACTCTCTGGCGGAGACGTCAACCCGAGGCCCCCACTTCGACACGGCCGCCTCCAAGAACGTGACAGCGCTCCTGGGCAAAACCGCCTATCTTAACTGTAGGGTAAAGAATCTGGCCAACAGAACGGTGAGTTTTTAGCATATTATTGGCTTGGATGGTCCGGTGATGACTGAGAAATCCGGGATCCGGGCCGGATCTAGCGATGACTTTGACGGATGCGAGCGACTCGCCCGTCCGGACTGAATATCAAAGGCGACGCGAAAATCGGGGAAATTTGCAATCCCTCCAGATACTGTATAGACAGAAAATAAAGAATCGGTTCATCATCAATCTTTATGGCCGTCGAACGACTCTTATATCCGTCGCATCACGCTAGAAATTGCGAGAGCCGTCTCCAGACGTTTTCGACGACTGGATGGGCTTTATCGCCTGTCTTCGCCTCGTACTGGCGCATAAACGAGCCATGAAAATTATACCGGTGCAGCGACAGGCTGAAGGGGTAATTAAATTCGAGGCGGGAATTGGCGGGGAATTGGAGGCGATACTACACCGAGAAAAATTGTTAAAAACAAATTCGCAAATACAGTTTTTTGGTTTTTTTTCCTGCTTCAGGTACTATTTTTTTTTTCTGTCTGTAATTAAACTAATGTTTGTTGGTTCATCCTGTATTTATGAAAATTCCGTTTCAAAATCCGATTAAATTTTCATCATAAAGCAGTCATTTAGTTGTTATTTAGCTCACAAATATTGTCAATTCCGTCTGCGCTGTTCTTTTTATTAACAATATAAAACGTTATAATTGAACAAAATAAATATTTACTACGATGTTATTTAGAACGCTCGTTGTAAAAAGTGAAGGATTTCATCAAGGAAACTGAATTATTCGTATTTAGTTTTTATTTATTTACATTCTTAGCAATGTAACTTAATTAGATACTTAGTACACACTTTGTAACAAATATTACGTCAAGTTATCCCCTGATTAAAACGAAAACTTGATTAAGTTTTCCATCAATCAAAGTGCGAAAACATCTTACTTATTACACGATACACTTTTAAAAGTCAAAATTTATAAATAAACAGTTTTTACTTTCTGAGCGTAAGCTAAGGAAGTATTGTGTTCGAATCCATTGGATAACTAGCTACTTTGTGTTTTTTCGACGTTTCATGACCCTTAGAGTACGAAAAAATAGATCTCCCGTTTGCGTCTGACTGACTGTATCGTATGTGTAGATTTCTATTAGGGAAACAATCTCCGAAACTACTGGATCGTTTGCTGTCATTTTTTTTAAACAGGAATATTATGTATATGGTAAAACGCGAACCAAAATTTAGATAAAGATCCCACCAACAAAATTTACATTAGTAAATGTTATTTCATTTGTATAAATTAAGATACCCCTTCACACGTGGTTTATGAATCCGTGTACGATTTTTGTCTAAATTATACAGATTTTTTTGAAAAAAATCAAATGTCTTAAAATGTTGCAAACATTTTAAGCTTATCATAATTATGGTCAATCGTTGATCAAAATTTATTCATTTATCCTCTTCCAACAAATTGATAACGCCATTTCAAAATTTTACTGAATAAATCCTCTCTCAAATATGCAAAATATTATGACTCTAATTATGGTTTATCAATTCACTCGTAGAATAGCATGCTTTTTTACATTTATTTTAATATCACAAACATATCTTTATCATTAAAAATTAAATTCTCAAAATCAAATTAATTTTTTACACACAATTTTTCACTTACTTCTTCTTAGATTTTACAATTTTTTGATAGCACAATTTTTATATTTTTAATTTTTCGATATTACAACGTCTCATTTTTCGATTTTTCAGTTTCTTAATTTTTAATTTTTCGATTTTTCAATTTTTCGTTTCCGTAATTTTTTCAATATTTCTTTCAATTTTATAATTTTTCTCTTAATCAATTTTTCAAATTTTCAATCTTTGATTTTTGCATTCCTCGATTGTCCAATTTTTAAATTTTGCAAATTTTGGATTTCTGAATTAACATATTTTCCGATTTTACTTTAATTCTAGGTATTTCAATTTAACAATATTTCGTTTTTTCGGTTTTGCACTTTTTCGGTCTGAAGTTTCACAATTTTTCGTGTCCTCAATATTTTAAGTTCTTGATTTCCTATTTTTAGATTTTTCAGAGTTTTCATTTTATACTTTTCCCTAATTTCTTTTTGTTTTAGCAATTTTTCCATTTTTTTTTATCAAAAATTAAAAAATCGATAAATTAAAAATCAAAAAAATAAACAACCGGGAAAAATTCAAAAACTCAAAAAACAAACTGCAGAATTGAAGAATTGAAAAATCGAAAAATTGTAAATAGGAAAACTAAAGAAACGAAAAATTGAAACATTGAAAAATTAAAAATGGAGAAACTTTAAAATAAAAAAAAAATTGAAAGAAGGACAAAGGGATCAAATCGAAAAAATGGAAAACCCAAAAACTGTAGAACTGAAAAATTATAGAATCATCAAAAAGTTGAAATATTGAAAAATTAAAAAATCGAATAAATGAAAAAGTTCTAAAAATCAATAATCGAATAATGGAAAAATTCTAAAATCATACTATTGAAAGAGTTTTAAAAATAATTATTTTCACATATTTAAAATAAAACTCGAAAAATTAAAAATGGAAAGACTAAGAATCGAAAAAAAATAATTAATCGAGAAAATGGAAAGAAGAAAAAATCAAAATATTGGAAAACCGAAAACCTGCAGAAATGAAAAAATATAGAATCGTCAAAAAAAAATGAAAAATTAAATACAGAAAATTAAAAATTGAAGAATTAAAAAATTGAATAAATGAAAAAGTTCTAAAAACCAATAATCGAAAAATAAAAAAAATCTAAAATCGTACGAACGAAAAACTGAAAAATCAAGAAACTGAAACATGTAAAATTGAAGAAACAAAAGATTAAAAAATCGAAAAGTTGAAAAACTGAAAAAACCAAAAATTAAAAAACTTCAGTTTGAAAAAAGAAAAATCATAAAATCAGAACATCGAAAAACCGAAAAATTTGAAAAAAATAAAGAAAATCAAAAACCAAAACGAAAAATTTCAAACCGAAAAAGTGAAAACTTAAAACTGAAATAAAGATGAAAAATCGGAAAAATGAAAAATTTTTAAATGAATACTTAAGAGTCCAATCGTAGAATTGAAGAAACAAAAATGAAAAATTGAAACATTGCAAATCGAAAAATCGAAGAAAGGAAAAATTGAAAAATTGCAAGTCGAAAAATCGAAGAAACGAAAAATTGGAGAAGCCAAAGTGGAAAAAACAAGAAATTATAAAATCGGAACATTCAAAAATCTAAAATTTGGAAAAACAAAGAAAGTAAAAAATCGAAACCAAAAATTGAAAATTGTAAAATTAAAAATCAAAAAAATTTAAAATCGGAAAATAAAAAAATTCTAAAATCGTACCACAGAAAAACTTTTAAAAATTATTATCACATATTTAAAATGAAAACTCGAAAAACTGAAGAAACGAAAAACTGAAAAATCAAGAAACTGAAACATGTAAAATTGAAGAAACAAAAGATTAAAAAATCGAAAAGTTGAAAAACCGAAAAAACCAGAAATTAAAAAACTTCAGATTGAAAAAAGAAAAATCATAAAATCAGAACATCGAAAAACCGAAAAATTTGAAAAAACTAAAGAAAATAAAAAACCCAAACGAAAAATTTCAAACCGAAAAAGTGAAAACTTAAAACTGAAATAAAAATGGAAAATCGGAAAAATGAAAAATTTTAAAATGAAAACTTGAGAGTCCAATCGTAAAATTGAAGAAACAAAAATGAAAAATTGAAAAATTGCAAATCGAAAAATCGAAGAAACGAAAAATTGAAGAAACTAAAATGGAAAAAACAAGAAATTATAAAATCGGAACATTCAAAAATCTAAAATTTGGAAAAACAAAGAAAGTAAAAAATCGAAACCAAAAATTGAAAATTGTAAAACTAAAAATCAAAAAAATTAAAAATCGGAAAAAATTTAAAAACCGAAAAACTGAAGAAACGGGAAACTGGGAAATCGAAAAAGTGGAAAATCGAAAAATTGAAAGAACGAAAAATTGAAACATTGAAAAATGGAGGAACTTCAAAATTGAAAAAAATAATGAATTGAAAAAATGGAAAGAAGAAAAAACGACTCAAATCGAAAACTTGGAAAACACAAAAAATATAATACTGAAAAATTATAGAAACGTCAAAAATTGAAAAATTAAATACAGAGAATTCAAAAATTAAAACTCGAAAAATTAAAAAATCGAATAAATCAAAACGTTCTAAATACCAATAATCGAAAAATGAAAAAATTCTAAAATCATAACATTGAAAACATTTTAAAAATTATTATTATTACGTATTTAAAATAAAAACTTGAAAAAATTGCATATCGAAAATTGAAGAATCCAAAAACTGGAAAATCAAGAAAACGAAATATCTAAAATTGAAGAAACAAAATATTAAAAATTTAAAAGTCGAAAAACCGAAAAATCCAAAAATTTAAAAACTTCAGATTGAAAAAAGGAATTCATAAAATTAGAACATTGAAAAACCGAAACATTTTGAAAAAATAAAGTAAATAAAAAACCGAAACGAAAAATTGCAAATCGAAAAAGTGAAAACTTAACTGAAATACCCAAAAGATGGAAAATCAAAAAAATGAGCAATTTTAAAATGAAAACTCCAGAGTCCAATCGTAAAATTGAAGAAACAAAAATGAAAAATTACAAATAGAAGAAACGAAAAACTGAAAAAACTACAATAGAAAAACGAATAAAATCAGAACATTGAGAAATGTAAAAATTGCAAATCGAAACAAAAAAATGGAAAGAAGACAAAACGAATCAAATCGAAAAATTGGAACACCCAAAAACTGTAGAACTGAAAACTTATAGAATCGTCAAAAATGTTGAAAAATTGAAAAATTAAATATAGAAAATTAAACAATAATCGAAAAATGAAAAAGTTCTAAAAATTAATATTATCACATATTTAAATTTCGAAAAATTGCAAATCTAAAATTGAAGAAACCAAAAACTGAAAAATCAAGAAACTGAAATATCTAAAATTGAAGAAACAAAAAATTTA